ACTTAATACATTTTTTTTTTATCAGGAACTGAAAATATATTCTTTAGACATTCGATATTTCTATTTTAAATAAAACATATTTAAGTTGACTTATGTTAATTTAAATTTAATTTATGCTATGTTAGGGTTGCCATGGTTTAAAAAAAATATGAATGTAATTCAAAAATGAAATATACGTCAATCGGTCCAATCGAAGCAACTAGTTTCCCAGACTGGAGTACTTGACTTAATTATACTTGTCTTAACAATAATTTCAGCAATTTTATATCAATAATTAAATAATCGATAGGTAATTAATTTTAGCAGCATATGAAAGGAAATTTAAGTCCAACTTGAATTACATAAGCCAAGATGAAACTTAGTATGCTTGATAATTTTTTTATATAAAATACTTGTTGTAATTGGAATGTTTTACTTCAAATATTAAGATTCTTATAGGTTGTATTAGAAGTATTTACTTCTAAAATGTTATGTTATGAGTTCAAAGATCTCTAAATTTGCTTACAAATAGTTAAAACAACATTTTATTTTCCTCCAATGCTTACTTGGATATACAATTTGTGAAAGGTTTAAAACTACAGCATTCTTGGTAAGCATTAAATCGAAATGAAACAGATGTAAATCAATCCACATGAATATTAATCCACTTTCAAGAGAGAGAGAAAAATAAAATAAAAAAGGTTTATAATGAGAAACGGACGATTTCCGCGTAGTTTAATGCAGAGTTCAAAAGGTGACGAACGAAATGTTTTAATTGGCGTAACAATTAAGGTCGGAAAATGGAAAAACGATTAAGACGAATGTAAGAAGAAATGAAAGAGTGTAGCCGAAAGCGGCACCTCGTTACTAGACGACCCCCTTTTTCCTCTTGCTCCGCACACGATAATTACCAAAGAGAAAATGTTGCGCGTTCCGTTCCCGCAAATGAATATCAAATGAAGCAGAAATAGAGAAAATCGTAAATCATGAGCTAATAAATCAAATCCCAGGTTGGCGAAGCCAAAAGCCGAGGGAACTCAAAGTGTAATTAAATTTATTAGTGCCGGGGTGTCATCTAGATCTAGTAGACCGTCACATCATTAGCAGCATGCTCAAGAAAAACTGGATCACTAATGGTCTACCCCTCCCTTTCTAACGCTATTTCAAATCTTCTTCAAAACTCTCATCTTCAGACAACTATTATTCATTCTTCAAATGATCTTCATTAACGTCTAGTTTTTTTTTTTTTTTTGGTGTTAATTTTACGAACATTTAAAGGCCTGATATAAATATTATCGTTGGAACGTGTATCGAATTCATACTATATATAGATGCACTTTTTCTTAAGAGAAACTTTAACAATTTTTCAAAAATAATATTTCCTCTACGCTTGTAAGGCGTACAAATGTTTAAAACAACAGTAGAAGTGAATTAACAAGTGCAATTACTTCAGTAAACTTATACCTCAATTAACGAAGTCAATGGATTGGACGAACTTAAACATGAAAAACCAATATTATATAATAAAAATAAATTATTGAATTTTATACAGATTAACAGTTATTATTCTTCTCCTTAATGAGGAGGAATTTTTTTTAAAGTCATTTAAAGCCTGAAATCCATTATCTGCATTATTTTCTTACATCCTATTTGTCGATGTATATGGAATATATTGATTTTGGAATGACTTCTAAGAGATATAGTTAAAGGATTTTTTGTTTTTGATCATAAAATGTTAATATTTCTACGTCAAACGGTATACAATCACAAGTAACGTTAACCGAGGTAAGACTGTAATTAAGACAATTTCTTGCAGAAAAATCTGATTTTGAAACTCGAACAAAAATTGAAGAGTTAATAAACAATTGCGCAATCTTATAAATTTGCTACAAATTGAAAAAATAAAATCAAATATTATGCAGTACAGTTCAAAAACAGATGTTTTTCGAATATTTCTGTTCATTATGTATGTTGTAAAGTTATTAATGAAATAAAATGTGCAAAATTATAATTCCACTTATAAATTCCTGTTAATTTATCTTGCGTCTTTTTCTTTTCCATAAAGTTAAAGATATTTTTTTTTTGTATGTAAACCTTTTGTAATTTATCTGAGATGAATTATTTAGTACGGGTCGAAAGGCCAAGACGATTTTTCTTAATAATCTTTTTCCCTCTGCCTTTCCGTGTACGTACGTCCATTGAACGTCAACGTAGTAAATCTTGTTAAATCAGGCAATGACTAGGCGCACATTCGTTAAACATTTCTTAATATACTTTTCGTTTTTTTTTTTCTTCTTCATATTTTTCCTCTCTCGTGGACCCACATGGTCGTACTGTAATAAATCAAAACGGTTATGTACATGCACGTATCTGTTTTTTTTTTTTTTATTATTGTTGTAGAGTTTCGTCTTCTTTAATTTTTGTTAATTTCCGAATCAAAATCACAATTGATTTCTACTAGAATTTATAATTTATAACGGATAAATTTATTCGATTCATTCAAGAGATGCAATTTATATATCTAGAATGCTTTGTGAGGGCATTATGAAACAAAACAAAAATTGTGCCAAATCATACCCACATGGGACATAGATTAGATAATTCCAAGAAATCAAGGCTTGATTAATGTCACTTAATTGATGTATGTCAAAATAATTGTATTAATGTGAACACTTAGTTATCTATTGATTTATGTTTATTTTGGATTTAATCCAACGAGTAGCTTATTAACGTTTCATGAAACTATTTTGACCTGCCTTCATCAATATGGATTTCCAGATTGGAATAACCTACAAACGTCACTCCAACTGAAGGATAGTTCTTACAAATTAATGTTATAATAGTATGCGTTTAATCAATACAAAATTACTGCTTTTAATTACTATACAGAACTCATATAGTCCGGTTAGCATGGATTTACTATAGTACGGTTTGAAAATTTTAACTTAACTTCAACTGGGAAAAATAAAAATAAATTTGGTTTGTGCGGTTTTAATCCGGTTTTCAAAGAATCCAGAGTGATATTATTAGAATATAACAATATTTCTTATTAGGGGTTTATATCGCAAGCCCGACAACCGAAAAACCGTCTATTGAAATCCCGACGTTCGAAATCCCGACTGTATCAAAATCTCGACAACCATAATCCCGACTATATCGAACATTTTTAAATTATTTCGGATCGTAGTCACCTTGTGCAACACTTTTATTATTAATAACAATAAATTATTATTAATTTATTTGATTCTGTTGAATTATTTATAATAAACCTTAACATTATGAAATAATCTCAAATACAATTAGATTATTAATTGTCGTTATTTATTATAAATAACAATTTAAAAGTGACTACGCTCCGGAATAATTTAAAAATGTTATTGTAAACATTTTAGATATAGTCGGGATTTTGATATAATCGAGATTATGGTTGTCGGGATTTTAATATAGTCGGGATTTTGATATAGTCGGGATTATGGTTGTCGGGATTTCAAACATCGGGATTTCGAACGTCAGGAATTTGATTGACGGTATTTCGGTTCTTCTAATATCCAAAATTGTATAAAACCGGACTAATCGAGGATCTAAAGAAAAATAAATAGATTTTTAATGAATAAACAAACTCTGATATTGATAATAGTCATTCAGAAATTAAAAACATTATAAATTAATATAATTTGAATATATTGTGACAGTGTCAATTAAAAAATGTAACTAATTATAAATAATTTTAATTACTAATAAATTAAGACATAACAAAGTTTAAGATTATAATATAATAATTAATGTTTCAATAAATTATTAAATATTTTTCATCTTTTTATTTGCTCATATTTTAGTTTATAAAATTATAAAAGCTCGAAATGTGAATAAATTATTGGAAATATAAAATATTGATGAAATTTTAGTGAATTCATTTAGAGATATTTTTTGTTCGTATAGTAAATGCTAAGAAATAATATAAGTTCTAATAAGTTCACTATAGGCCGGATTCTCTATAGTCTGGTATTAAAAATTAACTTAATTTAGTTATTTTTTAATTATAAATTATCGTTTAAATGATCGTTTTTTTCTCTATAAAATCTTTTTGTATGAATTTATTTAATCTATTTCAAGGAATTAATCGATTAGATTATAAATATTTTGTGACCATTGAAACGATATTTCAATTATAGTCATTCTTTATGTTTGCATTGTGTATATTAAACAAATAAAATCTGAAGCAAATTAAGTAATCCAAATGTTAATATTTTTTTTCATATTATCGTATATAGTGGAACATACAATATGAAATAAGTAATTTTTAAGTGGCAACACCAAAAATATACTCAAGAACCAGAAAAAATAAGAATTTCAATAATAATTAAGAGGATAAATAAAAGGTAATGTTATTTTTTTCTTTCTTTTTCGGTATAACACCTTAGCTTTTTATTATTCATAATTAACGCCAGTGTATATATGTGTGTCTATGTACATTTAAATCGAAAATTGCAAACACAAAGGGCCGTCAAAACGCGTAACGTGCGATGCTCTCACCCTTTCCATTTGCACCACTCTACCTCTCTTTCTATATATAGATATATTTATAAGTAGTAATGATTGCACATAAGAGAAATAGGCTCGTTCGCAAAAACTAATTTTAAATCAGTCTATAAGTAGTAAGGCTGTCGCGCAATATCTAATGTAGAATACATTACAAACACGCTCAATCTCTTTCTCACCCATATTATTACATTATTACACAGCAGAAACACCATTATCATAAATCAGATTCTTTCTTCTACAATATGCATGTGTCTGTCGTTGTTTTTTTTTATGTTATTATTTCTACGTTTATACAAAACACTATGTTTCACGTACAATGAATAGAAGGAAAGGATTGAATATCGCCCACGCGCGCATTCTCACTCACTATTATTACATAATCAATTAAACATCTAGCAGGTCTACGTAAGCTTCATCGTTTGTTGTTGTTTTTTTTTTTTGTACATTATCTTCTCTTTAGAATTACAAATAAATAAACATTCTCAACACCCCCATCCCCGACATCGCCTATATACATTATTCTTTGTATATACAATGAGATCTTCAGTCATGCACTTTGAATCATGACATTGTTTTTTTTTTTATTTCTATGTAGCGTCATATCTGTTCATCAGATTTGGTATTCACGCAATCAAAGGCATATCGTCTTCGTCGCATGCCACTGTTGAGTGATTGTAGAGACCTTGCGCCATCAGTTGGAGAGCCAAGGGGTTCTTCTGACCGGAAGACTTCTTGATCTTAGCTCTTTTATTTTGAAACCAGATCTTGATTTGCGCCTCGTTCAATCCGAGCTCGGCGCTGAGCTGCTGCCTTCTTCTCTCCGTCAGGTATCGATTTTCAGTGAACTCGTGCTTCAGCCGTGCCAATTGGGCCCCTGAAAACGCAGTTCTCGGTCGCTTGTCCTCCGTGTTTCCGGTCACCTTCGGTGCTGGAGGTTTCTTCATCCTTCTCGATCTCGGACCTGCAAGCAGAAAATGCAAAGAAAGACACATTAAAAACTCGGTTCGTAAACATCGGCGCTATTTCTGTCCGTGCGACGACATCAATCCATCGAGAGAGCACTTAAATCCGAGCGTAATAATTTTTTTCGGATGGAAGACGGGGATTTTCAGCGGTCGGCACTTAGCGCTTTTTAAACGGTTTATTTTCAGATTGATTTATCGATTTACATTGTTTAACGCTTAAAGTACGTTTTCGTTTGTGCGAGCTGAACTCGCGTGTCCAGTGAATTATTAATATTTTTCGATGGAAAAAAAAGGGAACGAAAACAATTTGTAACAATGATCGGTTGTGTAACCATCAATTGCGCTAATTGTCGGCGGTGGTTATTAGGCGAGAAACGCGGGGGCGGTTGCGCGGTTTCCGTTTCCGTTAATTGCACCCGCATTACATAATTATAGCGAAAACTTCGTTATTAATGCATTGCCAAATACACGTACAAAATCGATTTCCAACTGTAACATACATTTTGCGCAATATCTAACTATAATTCAATAGAATTAAATTCAATCACTCTCTAATTATTGAATTATTATTTATACATTTCAAAAATAATCAAATAATAACTTCAAATTCTGATAATTATCATTAATTTAAAATACAGACATTCGCGTTTCTCCAACACTTTACTTTTTTATTTATTCTAAATTTTGACAATGTTGTAATAATAAATATTATATAACTGTAACATACATTTTGCGCAATATCTAACTATAATTCAATAGAATTAAATTCAATCACTCTCTAATTATTGAATTATTATTTATACATTTCAAAAATAATCAAATAATAACTTCAAATTCTGATAATTATCATTATTTTAAAATACAAACATTCGCGTTTCTCCAACACTTTACTTTTTTATTTATTCTAAATTTTGACAATGTTGTAATAATAAATATTATATAACTGTAACATACATTTTGCGCAATATCTAACTATAATTCAATAGAATTAAATTCAATCACTCTCTAATTATTGAATTATTATTTATACATTTCAAAAATAATCAAATAATAACTTCAAATTCTGATAATTATCATTAATTTAAAATACAAACATTCGCGTTTCTCCAACACTTTACTTTTTTATTTATTCTAAATTTTGACAATGTTGTAATAATAAATATTATATAACTGTAACATACATTTTGCGCAATATCTAACTATAATTCAATAGAATTAAATTCAATCACTCTCTAATTATTGAATTATTATTTATACATTTCAAAAATAATCAAATAATAACTACAAATTCTGATAATTATCATTAATTTAAAATACAAACATTCGCGTTTCTCCAACACTTTACTTTTTTATTTATTCTAAATGTTTGACAATGTTGTAATAATAAATATTATATTAATCACGTGGTTTGGATGTTAAAATATAGTAAAGAATTAATGTTTTATCAAATTATGCAACCAAAGATACGTTGATTAATTGCCGGCAATTTATATGCGATTTCCAAACAATAGAGGAAAGCTAATGCGCTTTTCGTTGAGACTTGTCGTTGAGATGGGTAGAGCGATTAAAAGACAATGGAACTATTAATATTTGTGCCCTTCGGAGTGGGTGTGCAATTAAAATGGGTCATAGAATTTACCTGAGCTTGGCCTGTCGCTGTATCTGGTGCAGTAGACCCATGCCGGCCACATGGTGGGAGTTTTGCTGTCCTCGGTCTTCGGCTCTTCGGGGTTCGGAAGCACCGATTTCGGACTGACCTGGGGCGGTGGGATCGGCTCGGGCTGACGACGGGCCGGCTTTCCTATCTGCGAGACCGCCTGACAGAGGCTACCCAAAGGAGGAGCAGCCGTCTCGTACGGTTTGAAGCCAATCTTCGAAACAACCTTCGTCCTCAGCACAGCGGACTTCCCGAAATCAGGCTGGAGGATGTTCGTTATGGAATACTTGAGTGTCTGTATCATCGGCTCCTCGTCCGGTTGCGGTGAAGACGAGTCCGGTTCGTCGTCCTGCTCTCGCTTCGGACTGGACAGGGCATAGGATGTGATTCTGAAGAAGGTTTTCTCTTGCTGTTCGGACTTGGGGATGATGTTGTACGGAGAGGTCGGAGGTGAGAGGCTGGTTTTGATGGGCATTGTGGTGCAGGTGAATGAGGATGACGTGCGGGTGGATTCCGGGGAGTTCTGACCCGGGTCGCATCCACCGCCTTGAGGGCTCGTCGCCGCGCTCGGACTCGACCTGTCTTCGAATGCCATATTTGTTCAAATCCGAAGAAAATCGCACAAAAAAAAATGCGAGTGTCTCTTGATGATGTGTGTGTGTGTTGGATAAATAAATAAGCACAAGCACGCACTGAAACTTAGCTCACTGGCTGTCTAAGTATACTTAAACAAGTGCTTACTTGTGTAAGTACCCTGTCAAACTGAGTGAGTTTTCAAAATAGTCATCTTTATTACACGAAGTCCAGATGAGAGGCTCCGCCCATACGACTACACCCATTTCACTCCAACGCCCTCTCGACCCGTTCCGAACCTTGTCGAACTCCGTCCATGCCCATTTTCCGCAGTCGCCCGGAAAATCCATCGGAAAGCGCGGAAAACTGCAACAAACGTTAAATAAACAAATAACCGTATTGACAATTTAATGAAAACATATCGAAATTCTAGAGAATCGCCCGCAGGGACAGGCCGTGAAAACGAAGTGAAAAAAGGAGCGTGCGTTGAAGAGAGAAGAGAGCGAGAAAGAGAAAGCATCGTCTTCGTTTCGGATCGATTACGTTATCCGATGCGCGCACTCTCTCTAACTCTACCATCTGCCAATGGTAAAGTGGGCGTGTCGATCGTAAATGCAGCGATGCGATTGGTGGACTGAGGACGGTGGTGGGGGCGGCTCTCTCGCTTCTGAGATGAGATTGAGACGTACGTCTCTGTTTGTTTTTCCCGATGCTGGGCGGAGTCCGGAGCCTTGTAAACGTTGTAATTCAATATTGCATATAAGTGGTATGGATTAATAAGTGGTTTCGATAATGGTTTTATCAATGCGGCAGAACTAATTGATGGATTTCAAACGGATCGGGCGCGCTCTTCCTTAACAAATATCTATATTTGCTCTCGCACCCGACCATACATGATGCCCAGTTGCTACACTTACATTATTACCTTGTGATTCTTGTCTCTTAGCCGCATTTTCATTACATCTAATTTTCTTTCTTCAATCCATCTTCTCGTCACGTCTCTTTTTCCGTACGCAATTCTAAATCGCAGGAAATTACTTCAACTGTTTCAATTTACATACAGATTACAGCATTACAGAACATCATTTGCTTTATGTATTCCGGATGATCAATACATCATTAAACAAAGTAAGAACGACAAATTTATACATTTTACTAATAGAGACTATTTTCAAATTTATTTATTATTTGTAATAGTTATAAATGATTCCTATATATATTTTTTTTACATCTATTATTTTTCTTCATTGATATAAATATAAGTTAATTACATGATCAGTTATCGTATCGTTTTAAAAATAATTGACATTGATGCAACTTGTTTATTCCTCAAACACTCAACTGAGCTGCGCTTCAATATTGGAAACCTCTCGATAATGTTAACGAAACCAGTTTGCTCTCTATTTAAGACGCGCACGTTAATTCGGATTCACTAAACGGAAACGCAAAGAAAGTCGAGATTTATACGTAGCTAGATTTACAGGAAACTCGATTTATTACATACATTTATCACATGAAGAGAAAATAAGTCATTTTATTTTATTACTATAAAAAATAAATTATATACAGTTCCATATGATTCGCTTTACGTATTAAAGATAATTTTTAATTTTAATTATAATTAGCTTGGGTTAATCTTTTAATCCGTGGGTTAAATATTGTTACTTTTTAAAAATGAATCAATGCAAGTAAGTATATTGGTTTATATTTTATATGTGCATTAAAGAAGGTATTCTATTTAGGTTTTAGGGTGATTTGACATCTGAATAAGCTCTAGTTTTCCAAGGGTTACATTTGAAATAGGGGAATTAAATACAGTGGAACCTCGCTTAACGAGTTTAATTCGTTCCAAAATTACCGAATTTTTACTCGTATAGTGAAACATATTCAAAAATGCACATAATATGTGTTTAGAAGTTTTAAAAATGTTGTAGCAGACGCGAAATCCGGGACTTCTCTTCACATCGTCACTCGTTATGCGAAACGTAGTCATTTTTCTTACAATTCATTAAACTCGTTAAACGAGGTTCCACTATACTACAAACTAAAACGACCACTGATAATGCTTTTTTAAACAATATTTTATAGATAAGGAATAATTAATTTATTTGTTCTAAAATATTGCTAAAAACTATTTAAATTATATATTTTTTTATTTAATTAAACATTTTTATAACTATATAATTATCCATAGGAAAAATATAATTTAATTTCCACGTTTATAAAAAAATAAATATTGACTATTTGTATTTGTACATTTAGTTTTTTTTTCAAATATTTTGAAAGCACATTTTGTCTTGTAT